GGTTCCATGATTGGACCAAGATCCAAACAGCTAAGATGATTGCAGAGTAGAAACTAGACTCTTGAGTCTTCTGCACCTGGCTCTTCTTTCTACCATGCTGTTTATCCTTTGTTGGATGTTCTTTAAACAAACAAACAAACAAAAAAAAACTACAAAATATCATTTTAGAATCTCTTCTTCTAAGGAGTTCTTCAGAAGTAGGTTACATAAAAATATTTTGCTTTTGTAATCTAATCAATCAACCAGAACTTATTAAGCTCCTACTATGTATAAAGGCAGCTAGGTGGCACAGTGGATAGAGTGCCAGGGCTAGAGTCGGGAAGACCTGAGTTCAAATCTGGCCTAGACCTTTACTAGCAGTGTGATCCTGGGCAAGTCACCTAATTCTGTTTGCCTCAGTTTCCTCATCTGTAAAATAAGCTGGAGAAGGAAATAGAAAGCCACTCCAGTATCTTTGCCAAGAAAACCGCAAATGGGGTCATGAAGAATTGGACATGACTTAAATGTACCAGGCATTATGGTAGGTTCTGGGATTACAATGACAAAAGCAAAAATAGTCCCTGCCCTCAAAGAATTTATAGTCTAGCTGAGGAAGATAATAGTACACACATTGATATGTGCAAAATTAATACAAAATAGATAATAGGTGATATTTTGAGGAAAAAACATTAACAGCTTGGGATGGGGTATGGAAATCAGGAAAAGCATCATGGTTCTTGATTTGAGCCTTGAAGGAAGTAAGAGATCATGAGAGGCAGAGTTGAGGAAATGCATTCTAGGGAGGGGGGACAGCCAGTGCAAAGCAGTGCAAGTGGGAGATGGAGTGCTGGGTATGAAGAATAGCCGGAAGCCAATGTGATTATGCCCAAGTATGAGTGGAGGGGAGTAATTTGCAATAAAGCTGGGAAGGCAGGTTGTGACCTGGTGGTTAAGAGCTATAAATGCCATTCAGAGAACTTTATAGTCAATCCTAGCTGTAATAAGGAGCCACTGGAGTTTATTGAGTTACTGCTTGCATATTAGGGTTCACATGAGGTACAAATTCAAATTCATAGAATCAAAGAGTTGTAGACTTTAGAGCTGGAGGGGAAAATGGCTTCTCTTCTTCTCAGATAGATATCTAGCTTGTTTGATCCTCTATCCAAGTTCTCTCTTAAAGAATACCTTTTGCCAAGCCTGCTGTCTTAGCTAAAAACATCATAGAATCACAGATTTAAATCTAGCGGGGTCCTTGGAGGCCGTTGAGTCAAATACCTTCACTTTACAGATGAGGAAACTGAGGTACAGAGATGTTAAGATTTGTCCAGGGTCAAGACTCAAGTCTCCCTTCCAGGTGCCCTGAGAGGAACTCTTCCATTCCCAACCTGGTATTAAAATTACCTTGGAATCTTTAGTGTTGATGGGAGATACAGTGAAAATGTTTCTGTCATCCTGGAGTTGGGGGATGGGGCAGGAGAGTGGTAGGGGAGACAAGGTTGTGTTATGGAAGATCCATGTTATGTCAGTCTTTGGTTTCAAGTGATGTCACATGACCAAATTTTATATAAAGGGGCATCATTGTGTACCTTAATAAGAGGATATACAAGAACATTACCCATGCAGGGGCTATGATAGGTCCACAAAGAAGTGTCAGATTCTTAAAGGACTGGTGGGCTTCCAGAAGTTCTCAGACTCACTGAGTGGGAAGTCAGGAGACTTGGATTCCACCCCTGCTTCTGTTCCAGAGTCAGAGGACCTTGCTTCTAATCCTGCCTCTCACACCACACTTACTATCTCTGTGACTTGGACAAGTCACTTAGCCTTCCTGGACCTCAGTTTACATGTATATGACATGAGGGCATTAGGCCGGATGGTCTCTGAGGTCCTTTCAGCTGTTGACCAATGATCCTATGACTCAGCCCAATCTCTTCCTTCATTTTCTTTATTTCTGCTTGAGAATACAGACATATCTCAAATGCCCCAGTCATGTCATGAAGACATTAGAAGCGTGTCCCACCATGACATCTTGAACCTCACTCCTACTATAACTTGGTAGGCTCACCAGTGCTCCATCTCCTTTTTCTGACCTTCTGCATCCACTCACTCACTTTCTTCTAGTTTTGCTCTGCTCAACTCCCTGTTTATGGAGCCAAATGCCCCAGAACATTGTTTCAGTTATGTCATGTTTTCATGGAACCAGTGTTGCCTTTAGTTTTAGGAAGAGCATACCTAAATATGTGCCTACACTCCTTATTTTTCAAAAAAAGAGATCAAGTGGAATGTGGCATCTTTGAAGAGTTAGGGCCTTTGGATAAAGGATAAGGGTCTCAGCTAAGTGCCAGGTTGTTGTTGTTCAGTCATTTCAGTAGTGTCTGACCCTCTGTGACACCCATTTGGAGTTGTGGTTTGCCATTTCCTTCTCCAGCTCAGTTTTTACAGTAAAGAAATTGAGGTAAACAGGATTATGTGACTTGCCCAGGATTACCCAGCTAGTGTCTGAGACTGGATTTGAACTCAGGTCTTCCTGACTCCAAGCCCAGTGTTCTATTCACTGTGCCACCTAGCTTGCCCTAAATGGAAGGTACTTAGTCCTTTTTTGTTTTGCCATGACTCCTGTGCTACTGGGTCATGGATTATTAACACCAAGGAAGGATCAGAAAAAGTATGAGCTTTCATAGCTGAACTTTTAGTATCCTTGGAAGGGGTGTGGATGGTATTAAGGTTGCTTCTCCTCCTGAAAAGAGTAGAAGGAAACACAGAATCAAGATGCAGTGTATCTTATTAATACAAGAGAGCTAGCATTCCAATTCTCTTGCCTCAAGGCAAATGTTGTAAAGCAGGGTGGGAAGAAGGATGGATGATTGGGTTTTCAACCCTGCCTCTGCATTTAAATGAATACAAAGGAAAGTAGACAGAGGAGAGAAGAGAACTGCCAGGCTGCCCTTTTTGCTAAGAGAGAATCCATTTTAAGCTTAGTTATGATTGCATTTTGCCTGGCCATTACGGTCAAACTGAGCTATCTGCTGTCAATTCTGACGGTACACAGAGGTGGAGGGAGACATTACACATATAAATGGGGTTTTCAGGTTTGCCACATTTGAAAGTATTTGATTTACCCTGACTGGAAGAAGCTTTCCTCCCAAAGTAATG